TTTATGATGGCACTGCAGGGGTGGCTCAAATGTGATATTATTTAAATTCTTTCCATTTATAATAAAACACATCTAAAAAAAAAAAAATTTTGGTTGTTAATCCTAAGAAACGAAAAAAAAAAAATCTCATAAATCATTCACAATGTCGTCCCTGAGTGCCCTGATGGGAATATTTTCAAGAGTAATATAATGATGGCAATTTGCTTCTAAATCCTTATTCCAACTGCTTATTAATTATCGTTATCTAATATGAAATCTCATTAAATAACTTACAACAAGCCACATCGACTGCAATCTGAATGCCGATATTCAAAGGAGGTGGCTAGACTATAATACTTTAAAACAAAAATACTAAATCCCTATTAATTTTATCTTGTTTTTCCTTTTTTTTTATTATTACTATAAGGATTAATATACATTCTTCATTTTTCCCAACTTATACAGCTGCCAGAGATACAAAACAAGGTTGGCTTCAATGCAATGTTAAAATACCTTTTTAATATGGCTTCAAAACGCCCAGGAAATTGTTTAAACTTGCGGCACACACCCATAGAATATAAAGGGAAAGGAGAAGGTGGCTTCAGGAAATGCGAGTCACACCTAAGGCAATGTCAAATGACGGTCTTACTCTTATACATGGACACATTATAATAGTTCACATGTTACCCCAGGCCCCCCCCTCCCCCATTCCGGCCTCTTTCACCTGCGAAATAAAGCAATAATGAATTCGGTGATAGATATGATGTACACCTGTTCAGAAAGGTTCCCTCTAGCTGATCTTACTAAATCCTGTATAGTTACAGACCAACCTATATATTCCGTTATTCATTTCTTCTGTGAATTTATATAAGCAGCAAAACATTTGTAAGGGGTATCACATATGCATGACACATAATGTTTTTTTTTTTTTTTTTTTTTTTTTTTTTTTTTTTTTTTTTTCAAGCCATTTAAACTTCAAATTTGTGGTGGAGTGTTTATCTAGTTCAACGGTTTTCGATCGTTACGCTTTGTAGAAAACTTTTTTTCATATCTCAGGGATCCCCTAAATATTCTCAGATATATTTTCATAGTTACGTATATGTATCTATATAGACATATATATATATATAGATAGATAGATATAAATAGAGAGATGATTATATATGTATATACATATATATGTATATGTGTATGTGTATATGTGTGTATGTGTATGTGTATGTATGTGTGTGTGCGTGTGTATTTCCTGAAGATATTGCTGACAAAAATACAATAAAATAGATCGCGTCATGATAGCGAATTAAGACGTGCACGGTTCAAGATTCATATAGATATATCTTATAGGGGTTAAGTCTGACATTTTGATTAAAAGTTTTACAATTTATTTTTTTCCATTCATACATACTTATACAGGCGTACACATACACTCAGACTCAGACA